TTGGTGGTTTTTAATGTGTAGTATGTACTTGGCTGAATTTAAAAAATCTAGTTGTAAAATGACAGCTATGACCATGTGTAAATCTGTGTAAACATACAAAATACATATTAGGAAACGATATTAAGTTTTTAGTGATCTTGTTCATTTCAGGTACACTGTGTATGCATTCATAGCTATAATTGACTAGTCAGATGTCTCAAAATACTCACTGTTATATTGCTATTAACACTTTTATGATATGTTAAACTTAAATTAGTACTGTCTGAATTAAATAAATGAACCCTTATAGAAACCAAATTACCATTTCAAGTATCAAAATAAAAACCCATACTCGCATTGAGAATACTTAAATACAAACAGAAAATTCCTTTTTTTATGCTATAAATCCAAATTCATACATGTTCACATATATATTTATTTCTCAAATCAACAAATTTAATCTATGTATATTCCTGTCTTCAGTGAATAGATCTCACTATGCAATCTGAATATTGCATAATAGAACAGTCAAATATTACTGTACAGGTGAGTATCAACACTACAGGGCTACGTCTACACTGGCATGATTTAGCACAAATACTCTGTAACGCAAGAGTTTTTGCGTTGGAGTATTTGAGTAAGAGAGCGTCTACACTGGCATGTGCCTTTGCGCAAAAGATGTGCTTTTGCAAAAGAGGATCTGTGCTAGTGTAGACACTCTCTTGCGCAAGAAAGCTCTGATGTCCATTTTGTTGCGCAAGAAATTGATGTTGCCTGTCTACACTGGCCTTTTGCGCAAGAAGAGTTGCACAAGAAGGCTTATCCCTGAGCGGTAGCGTCATAGTTCTTGCGCAAGAAGCACTGATTTCTTACATTAGAACGTCGGTATTCTTGCGCAAGAATTCGCAGCCAGTGTAGACAGGCAGCAAGTTTTTGCGCAAAATCTTGCCAATGTAGACATAGCCCAGGTGTTTTTGTAAAATGACAAATCCATGAATGTTAATATAACTGCATGTAAACAAATTAGATCCCTAAGGCTCTAGTCTGAAAAGCTCTGAATGACAAAACAGGTTTGTGTGAATTTGCTCTTTCATTGTATTCACTCATTAAGTAAATATCACACTGTAATTAGATGGACTGATAGTATGTACAAGAGGTGATGGGAGCACAGATTGTGTAAAATACTGATATTTACCAAATGAGATCTTATTCTCTGCTCTGTTAAAACAAGCTACTCTTCAGATATGTCAAGCACAAGTCCTGCCATTGTAGATGTTGAACTAGTAATGCCACATCCTGTGGCTTGAAGTGGTTTCTGTCATATGCAGGGTTTACAGCAGGGTTACTCAACACGTGGCATGCAGCCTGTTTGTTTGTGACCTGCATTGCAGTTTGGGTTTACGCCGGGCTTAACATGCGGCCCATGGTTGGGAGCCAAAACGAAAAAGTAGTCAATATAATGGTCTTCTGTTGATATGCGTTTTAGTAGTTAAATTCCTGGACTGTCATTGCTCGTTAAAAGTGCTGTCATATGGGTGGAAATCAGGTAAATATTGCATTTTATTAATATCAGCAGAACTGACTTAAGTGAAGGCTGTGTGTTGTGTAGGCTTGTCTTAATCTTTATATTCATGCCTGTCAGTGTGAAAGAAGCAGTTTTCATATATTTGCACATATATATGCATGTTTATGCAACCACACTTAAGTTGAGGCCCTCAGCATGTGCTGTGAGAATCATTGTGGCCCCTGGGGCTTCCATAGTTGAGTAGCCCTGGTTTACAGTTTGATTAAATGGCTTCCAGCATCCCCACTGTAAAATTGTTCCTTCATGCTTCAATTTTCTTTTGGAAGAACACGATTGCAGTGTGGATGTAATTGAAGTTTTTTCAGAAAATACTCATTTTTCTGAAGAAAAAAAAAAAGTCTGTAGTGTAGACATACCCTTAGTCCTTGTGAAACACCATGAAGAAGAATGCATTTTACCCCTACCAATTGTAAAAATACAAGCTGTTTGCTCAATTTATTAGCATATCAGCATTCTCAGATGGTTGTTCTCAGTAGGATAGTTACATTTGTATTAAATTTGGAACAAAATGTAATGAAAACAAAGGGAAATATGTTACATGTGAGCAATTTGTACAGCGATTTGTTTTTGATGGTCTTTCTAGTGAGAAGTTTTGTTTATTTTTGGGCTGTTACAAGAACTGAAAAATACCATAAATTTCATCACTTATCATTTTAGTTTAAAATAACATGGATTCTGAGAGTGCAAAAATAAGATATAGGTGTTATTAGGAGGGAGGGAGGGAAAAACAACACATTTGTCCTTCATTGCCCATGTTTCTCAGCTGTTTATTTTTGAACACCCATGGCCAGATACTCTCAAGTGTCCTCCAGAGCTTTCCTCCATTCTAGAGACACAGAGTAGCCATAAACTGTTAACTCTACATTGGATTCCCACTCAGATGGGAATTTGCAATTGAAATAGCACCGTCCTCCTTCAGCCCCCACCACAGGGAACATGTCCATGGTGTCTGTAGGCCAGAGCAGTGCCTAGCTGCTGGATCAACCCTGGCCATTGGCAGCTAGTGTAGATTAGAGAAGCTTTACTTTAAACCAAAGACTAGTCAAATGGCCAGACAGTATCAGGATAAGGGGGCATAAATATGGCTAAAAGTCACCTTTGCAAATGGACTCCTCTAAACTCTGCTTGACTATGACCCAGGATCTGGGCCTAAAAGTTGAACATGTTAAATTCAATTATAATACTGTGTTTTTGCCCAATAGTAAATATGTCTTTGTTTACATTTAGATGAAGTAACATCATTTTAATCTCTGCGATAAAACAGTACTAAATATTTTGTAGTTCAGTGCCTATCTTAATACCATTGAATTTCCTGTTAAATAAATTGAACTAGTGATAAAATTCTTCACTTTCTGCTCTAAACTCTTATGTACCATGAAACAGCAACTACTTTCTTTATAAAAGGTGGCTGCATTTCAATGTTGTGTGGGTTATATTAAAAATAAAATAATTTTGTAAAAACACTTTGGTATCCTTGAAGACAAATACTCTATAAATGTGTTATTAATTGGCCCTCGGATGTGGAATTGGGTGCTAAAATGCAGGAGCCATGATAAAATCTTAAAACATAGAGATTAATACGATGGAAATTAACATTGTCAGTTTAAGACTGGAGGAAGGATTTGTCATTTTTTGCCAAAAAAAGTGCCAAAAGATAGAGAGATTTCTACATTTATAGTGTCATAAAGATATGTATGTATATATTTCCCAATGTAAGGTCCAGTCATTTCAGATTCACTTTCTGCTTGCCTTTCATGGCAGAAATCTTCCTGCCACTGTTGTAATCATGTGGCATTTCTGAGGAGGACATTGCTTAGAATCAAGGCTTTGTCACACAATTATCTGTAATCATTTGGATGAAAGCCTGCTGACGGACTGAATTGCATATTATTTTTCAATTAATTTGTAAAAGAAGCTAGATATTTAAGATCATTTTAAACTCATATACATTCCTGAATGTATTTTATTTGTGAATTCAGTTGCTTTGGCTCCCTTCTTTTATTGCTTTTAAAGTACTGTATTTGCTGCCTAATCTTTAGTCATATACTGGTCAATTCTGATCTACCTATTCCTAATGAATATGTTGGATATTTATCATATGAAAAGTTTATATTTCTGAACCTAAACTTGAAGTTTACAAGAAATCTGGTAACTAATTAAGTGAATAAATAAAATTCTTCTCTTGAGAAACCCCTTTCTATATTCACATAAATTTACATTTTCAACATTTAATTATAAGATTACTAGGCAGGCAGTCCCATTGAGTGTAACAAACAATGAATCCCTCATTTTAAGAAGCCTCATCAGTTTAAAATGAATTGAATTGGCAGGTTTTGTCAATTACTCTTTTAGATCGAGTAAAGGACTATGTTGTTTATACAGTATCATAAATGAGATGCGCTAGATGTGCAAACACATTTGACTTTACTGAAATGTAGAATCTTTATATAAAACACCTCCAGTTAAATTAAAATTATAGCTTGGGCTGCAGAGACTGAGGCTCTTTTTTACTGCTAGCCCTGCAAACTTCATCCTGGAATCTTAGTATTATGCTGGAAGTTTCTTTCTTACACATCATCCTCAGCAATGAAGGTGTTCTGCAAATCAACTAAGGCCTTCAGTTACCCCTGTACAACCTCATTGTCTTCAGTGGCTTCTTGTATGAGTGTTAATTGATTGTAATGTTGTATACAATTCTGTTGACTGGATGCGAGTACCTGTCTATATTGATTCTGCAGTGGTAATATAATAAAGATTACTAGGGTTGCCAGATATCTGGTATTGATCCAGACAACCCGGTATTTGCGCTTTCCATCCGGTAAAAAAATTCAGAAAATACCGGACATGTAAAATGTCAGTATTTCTTTGTTTTTCCCGGCTCGGGCATCCGATGGAAGGGCGGTTGGGACATGTGGCGCAGCTTGGGCTGGCTGAGGCGGGAGGAGGATGGAGTGGGGTGGGAATTAAAGGGGCTGCCTTTCCTTTTTGGGAGGAGGATGGAGTGGGCTGGGAATTAAAGGGGCTGCCTTTCCTTTTTTTTGCTCAACAGGTTCGGGTTTGGTATTTTTTGTCAAACCATCTGGCAACCCTAAAGATTACTATGTTTTTTGCCTCTAAAACCCACAGGGAGCCTACCTATTGAATAAGGCTGTGCAGTTTTTATGTTAACATTTTTCAGAGTAGAAGTGTACAGACATTTTACTGTATTAACAGAAAGTGTAATTTGTTAAATTTTTAGTTTCATAATTTATAATTATTTCCTATTTAAATATTTCCTTTATTTTAGCTCAAACCAATTGTTCACACCAATTTTTGAGATAAATAGTTCTTTGACATTGTTTATGTTCCTCATACTTTAGATGTGCACCCTGTAGTCTCTTGAAAAAAGCAAGGTAAGCAGTTATTTCATTGAACATTACCATTTGTGTTTTTCTAGAATTCATTTGAAGCAGAAGCAAATGACCAGCTATCACCTCAGGCACAAAATGTGCAGAAGTATTTGTCTAGATCATTATTATCTTCGGATAGGCAAGGCCTGGATCTTCCCAACCCTGCAAAATGTGCTAGAAAAGATACTCGGAAAATATCTAACGCCTCAACCTCTAATTCAAATGCTTCAAGTCCGCAAAGAAAATACTCTGGACTTTCATACAGTTCCTCTGCTGAAAGTGTTATGAACATCAGTCATTCTCACAACCATCGGAGTACTGAATCCAAAGTGTACACTGGGGATCTCTTAGATAGACATTCTGACCACTTTACTGACTGTCACCAACCATTCACTCCACGCACCTTAAAATCAGATGCTAAATCCTTCCTGTCACAGTATAGGTATTATACTCCCGCTAAAAGAAAAAGGAAGGACCCCCCCAAGCAGCAAGTGGAAGCAGAAACACAAACGGACTTAAGCAGGTACAGAGACTAACATATAATTCTAAAATAGTGTTATTTAAGTGTTAATCATATGAGGCTCTTCATAAAGCAATAGAAATGTAGCCGTGTTAGTCTGGTGTAGCTGAAACAAAATACAGGACTATGTAACACTTTAAAGACTAACAAGATGGTTTATTAGATGATGAGCTTTCGTGGGCCATACCCACTTCCTCAGATCAAATAGTGGAAGAAAATAGTCACAACCATATATACCAAAGGATACAATTAAAAAAAAAGAACACATATGAAAAGGACAAATCAAATTTCAGAACAGAAGGGGGATGCGGGGGGAGGGGGGGAAGGTAAATGTCTGTGAGCTAATGGTATTAGAGGTGATAATTGGGGGAAAACTATCTTTGTAATGCGTAAGATAGCTAGAGTCTTTGTTGAGCCCCCGCGTAGAGTGTCGAATTTTAGCATGAATGACAGTTCAGAGGATTCCCTTTCAAGTGCAGATTTAAAAGGCTTCTGAAGCAGGATGCAGGTAATTAAGTCGTTGAGACAGTGTCCTTTCTGGTTGAAATGGCAAAAAACTGTTTTTTCTTTGTGATCCTGTATAATATCTGTTTTGTGGTTATTTTATTAGAAGTGGATCTAGCCCACGAAAGCTCATCATCTAATAAACCATCTTGTTAGTCTTTAAAGTGGTACATAGTCCTGTATTTTGTTTCATAAAGCAACATACTCTGTTGAAGTCTTCCCTTATTTACACAGGTGCAGGTCCAGCATAATTTAATTGAAATCTCTGCAATTCTTCCAGACTTACAACTGGTGTAAATTAGAGCAGAATATTATCTTTTGTGTTAAAGAACCCCCCAAGAACTTGCTGAAGTCTGTATGATAGGCTATGGACCTGATTCTCTACTCCCTTTTACATTGTATCGCTATTTATACCTGTGCACTCTGGATTTCAAATCGTTCCCGTTCCAAATGGTAGTATTCTACATGCTCTTTGCACTGGTGTCAATGTCCCCACAAAGTACAAAGAGGTAGAGGCTCATTCTCCAAGTATCTGTTCTCCCTGCTCGCTCTGTTTTTTATATTGGGTTTCTCTGTCTTCTCTCAGTTTCACACATAAGCCTTCCCTCCTGAAGCTCCTGCAGTCTATAGAGTACAGGCAGTCCCCGGGTTACGTACAAGATAGGGACTGTAGGTTTGTTCTTAAGTTGAATCTGTATGTAAGTCGGAACTGGCGTCTAGATTCAGCCGCTGCTGAAACGGATCAGTTTCAACAGCGGCTGAATCTGGACGCCAGTTCTGACTTACATACAGATTCAACTTAAGAACCGCAGGCGTCCCCAAGTCAGCCGCTGCTGAAACGGATCAGTTTCAACAGCGGCTGAATCTGGACGCCAGTTCTGACTTACATACAGATTCAACTTAAGAACCGCAGGCGTCCCCAAGTCAGCCGCTGCTGAAACGGATCAGTTTCAACAGCGGCTGAATCTGGACGCCAGTTCTGACTTACATACAGATTCAACTTAAGAACCGCAGGCGTCCCCAAGTCAGCCGCTGCTGAAACGGATCAGTTTCAACAGCGGCTGAATCTGGACGCCAGTTCTGACTTACATACAGATTCAACTTAAGAACAAACCTACAGTCCCTATCTTGTACGTAACCCGGGGACTGCCTGTACTCTATAGCCTACTTAATTGCTTTTCCATCTCTTTTAGAAATCAGCCTGAATTCCTTTTTTTCTTTTGACTACGACGCTTACTGCCTCTTTTTCACTAAGCTGTGTGATTCTATTTTAGGTAAAACATTTTAGGACCAGTTTGTGTGAACATTTTTTACAAGATAAAATTGCTTTCTCTTGCACTGTGCTGCTGCTTGGAGGAGTGGACATATTAATGAGAGAGAAGGTAATTTTATTTTGTATAAATTGTTCCCATAGAATGAATTTTGGTGTCAGATTTTTTTTTCTTCTGAATTAAATTTAGGGACCTTCGTTGCCTCAGTACCTACATCCTTAATGTCCCTCTCTCTTATTTGGTCTGACTCTTGCTTATCTAGGGGTTTGATTATATCTTTCACCCTGACACCTGAACACCTCTAAATAAGAGAGCTACTGTGCATGTTTTGAGGAAACAAGGGATAGAGGATAATCTCAGTGCGGTTGAATGGCCTCCACTCCCTTCGAAGTCAGTAGGAGCTCAGGGGGCTCAGTACCCCATAAGATCAGGACTGAAATCCATACTGTTAGAGTTCAAGTGGCAAGTGCAGCAGCCCCAAAAGCACTTTAAAGTAGGAAGTTCATTTTTTAAAATCATGGGAAGACTGAAGTAGAAAGAGCTCAGCCTCTATCAATTTCATAGATCATTTAAATAGGGTTCCAGATCAGAAATAAGGGCTTGACTGGTGGATGTAATTAAACCGTCGAACAAAAACATTTGCAAGAAACTCTGTGAGCTCTTCCTCCCTCCCTTCTATATTAACTTATTGCTTCCTTTTGATAGAGATTGTGACTAAAGAATATGGCCTAATGGAAAATATACTTCACCAGAGATAAAATGCAAAAATGCCTTTAGACATGAAAATTCTGAAAAGGTAGACCCTTCTATAGATAGGCAAATAGATGGAATTTCCACTGATACCTAGAGGAGAATAAACATTTTAATGTATATTTAAAATGAACACCTTGTCCCTTTCCATTTGCAGCAAAAAGGCATATAGAAGAAACATTACATTGAGCTATTTTAAATGGCTTTATTAATCAAATATCTTTTTATTAATACATGAACTACTGGTGAGTCTGATCATTTAATGAGATCAAGATACCAAATATCATTCGATTTATGCTTCCTGCCACAAGTCTTTCATAAACCCTTTTGAGAATTACAGTTATTTCCTAGTTTTAATTCTTTTTTCCTTAGCAGTTGAAGTTTATGTGATTTATGTGACATATGTATGTTAATTTCATGCTTATGTAGGGTGGTATATGGGCCAAAATGTATACTCAAGTCCTCACTTTATTAAAAACATAGGCAGTATCAGTGCAAGTATCTCCTCTATTCTACCCTGTACTTGAAGGTAGTTCATCTTTCCTTATATTATTTCATATATCTTGGATTTCAGAATATTTCACGTGTGGTAATTTACCATTCATGTTTATACTATTGACTTGCAGTGTGTAGAATACATAATGTCCCCCTTGCATTTTATATTAATGTGTAGGGCAGCCTTCACTCCCAATTCCAGACAATTATTCTGAATGTTTTATTTACCCTTGTTTGCTGTGCAGTCAGCAGATCAATTGGGTGATCTAGGAATGACTTATTACTTAAATATTTCCAACACTGAAAACTGACTTTTAGATTCATTGTGAGGGTAGAAGCTATAACAAAAAATTTCAAAGATGCCTAAACAATTTGAATGCCCAATGCCCTTTAAATTTGATAGGAATCAAGTGTCCAGATCCCCTAAGTGGTTTTGAAAATTTCTGCCCATGCATATAGAAAACAGCTGTTTGAACTATGAGGCATGTATATTCTGAGAGACCTGGCTAATACTTTTTTTAACTTTTATAGTTTTCAATCTGAGAGAAGAGAAAAAGAGAGAAAAGATACTACCGTGCTGCAAAAGATCATAACACAGGTAATAAAAACAATATTTCTATCAGTCACTGAGTTGTTTTGACTACACACTCTCCCATGCTATCAGAGCCCATATTTTATCTCTGCCACTATAGTGAATAGCTGAATTAAATTGCATATTCTCGATGGGCTGACAGATGAACTTGATGAATGCAAGTATCAGAGGGGTAGCCATGTTAGTCTGAATCTGCAAAAACATCTAGAAGTCCTGTGGCACCTTATAGACTAACAGATTTATTGGAGCATACGCTTTCGTGGGCTAAGATCCACCCATGTATCTGACAAAGTGGGTCTTTGCCCACGAAAGCTAATGCTCCAATAAATATGTTAGTCTATAAGGTGCCACAGGACTTCTCGTTGTTTTTGATGAGTGCAGAGTTCTGAAGGTATGAGCTAGAATTAGGGCTATTGGTTAATGACAGTTATTTCACATGATTACCTCAAAAAATTAATCAAGATTTTTTTTTAATCACAGTTTTAATTACACTGTTAAAAAATAGACTACCAATTTAAATGTATTAAATATTTTTAATATTTTCTACATTTTCTTATGTATTTTGTGTTGTAATTGAAATCAAAGTGTATATTTTATTACAAATATGTGCACTGTAAAAATGATAAAGAAAAGACATATTTTTCAATTTACCTCATACAAGTAATGTAGTGCAATCTCTTTGCCATGAACGTGAAATTTCCAAATGTAAATTTTTATTTTGTTACATAACTGCACTCAAAAACAAAACAATGTAAAATTTCAGAGCCTGTGAGTCCACTCAGACTTACTTCTTTTTCATCCAGTCTCTTAGACAAGCACATCTGTTTACATTTACAGGAGATAGTGCTACCCGTTTCTTATTTACCGTATTACCAGAAAGTGAGAATCAGTATTTGCATGACACTATGATAGCTGGCATTGGCAGATATTTACATGCTAGACGTGCTAAACATTTATATGTCCCTTCATGCTTCAATCACCATTCCAGAGAACATGCTTCCATGCTGATGATGCTCATTAAAGAAATAATGTGTTAATTAAATTTGTAACTGAACTTCTTGGAGAAGAATTTTATGTCCCCTGCTGTTTTACCTGTATTCTGCCATATATTTTATGTTATAGCTGTCTCTGAAGATGACCCAGCACACGTTGTTCGTTTTAATAGCACTTTCACTACAGATTTCACAAAGCACAAAGGAAGGGAACTAATGTGAGATTTCTAAAGATAGCTGCAGCGCTCAACTCCATGTTTAAGAATATAAAGTGTCTTCCAAAAGAGAGACGAGGTGTTGAGTGTGCTTTCAGAAATCTTAAAAGAGCAACACACCGATGCAAAAACTACAGAAATCAAACCACCAAAAAAGAAAATCAACCTTCTGCTAGTGGCTTCTGACTCAGCTGTTGAAAATGAAAATGTGTTGGTCTGCACTGCTTTGGATCATTATCAAGCAGAACCCATCATCAGCATGGACACATGTCCTCTGGGTGGTTGAAGCATGAAGGGGCACATGAATCTTTAGCATATCTGGAATGTAAATATCTTGTGCCACAAGCTACAACAGTGCCATGAGAATGCCTGTTCTCACTTTCAGGTGACATTGTTTACTGAATGAGAAATAGGACTGATTGGATTTGCTGGCTCTAAAACTTTAAATTTTTTTTTACATAATTCTACATTTGTATGTCTAGCTTTCATGATAGAAATCGCATTCGAATATTTGTACTAGGTGAATTGAAAAATACTATTTCTTTTGTTTTTAATAATGCAAATACTTATTAAAACAAATATAAAGTGAGCACTGTACACCTTGTATTCTGTTTTGTAATTAAAATCAATATATCTGAAAATATAGGAAAACATCCACAAATATTTAAATCGATGGTATTCTATTATTGTTTAACAGTGCAATTAATCACACAATTAATTATTAATGGCTCGAGAGCCATAGCTGAAATGTTTAAAAAAAAAATTGAAATAGAATCTGAAAAACTAGTTTTACAACCTGTGTGTAACATTTACAGTACAGAGAAGCACACTCATAAATATCTGTATACACATATGAAATTGAGATTAAAAAATGGAGACACTTGGCCCAGTATTATAAAACATGAGAATGTACACTTGAAGTTGGTGCAGTATTGTATATAGGCATATACCTGATCCACAACACAGTTGGTGTCTGGAATTTTTGTGCACCTGGGTTTAATCCTAGAACTTCTGGAGAGGGATTTGAATACCAGAGCCAGATCTCTAGTGACTTTTTTTATTTTAAATTCTGTAGCACAAAAAAGTCACTAAAATGTAGCAGCCTATTAGACAAGAATCTGGGGTGGAGACAAGGAGAATTAAAAATGAGTTTTTTTCTTTAAAAAATGTACAGGAGAATTTGTTTGGAGATGTATAAGGATTTATAGCATTTGAGCTTGAAGATATACTTGAGAACTGGCCTGTCATACAAACCAGAATAATAAGAAGGAGCCTTTATATGCTGTTAGGTTAGAGAACTAAAAAGAACTTGTGTGAAACCATTCCGGTTCTTGAATATATAACAGAGATGCTTCTAGTACTCTGAAAATAAAAATAATTCCCTATCTTTATAGACTTTTGTTATATAAGTTGTTAAATCTGATAGATCTATATCACATGATATTAAAGACCTAAATAGTATTTATATGAAAAATGGTTATAGCTGTTTAATATCCACAAGTGTATTAGGATGAGAGAATCAATAATCATGTTTCAAAAGCTCTGAAATAAGTATTTTACAGAATCTTCATTTTATAAAAAGCGTAAATAAAATATGCAATAGTTGATAGATTCTCATATTGTAGATCTCTAGGAGCTGTTTTATCAAGCTGTAATTTGAGGATTTCCTTGTTTCCTTCCATAGTTAATTTGAGAGAGAGAACATAGTACTTGATTTGCTACAACACCTATACACAACAGGATGAGTTGAGGCAGAAGTCTCAGTCTTTTGTGTATTTATGCCATCAGTCATTTTCTCATTACAGAAGATTTTATAACCATCTGTGATTAGTTAAAGCTCAGTTTTTTGTTTTTTATACTAACAAATCTCTTTGCTAGGTTCGGCTGCCTTAAGCCATATTGAATAGCATCTTATTCTATAAGTAATGCCATTGACTTTAGTAGAACTTTGAGGAGTAATGAGCATGAGGAAGGAGGGCAGTTTCTGTCCCTTGGCTAATATTTTTCAGATATGTTATGTGATCTTGTGATGATAATTGCAGTAGCACAGAAATGTCTGCCTTTTATCAAGGAATAATTTTCAGTAATTTTTGAATTCGCCCTATTGATTTGGAGTTATCTTAATATTTTCCACTTCCGCTAATTTTTTGTGGAAGAGTATGAACTGGAACTGAGATTCTTCAAATAGCTGTCAAGTTTGGGACCTCATCCTATATCCTCTACATAGACTTCTGAACAATAGTCCTGTCAGCATTAATAGACTTATTCACATGAGTAAGGACTTCTGACTAAAGGTCTCAGGATTGAACCCTTAAAGTCTGAGATTATGAATAAAGCAAATAGTTCCGTTTATGCTTGTGCGATATTTTCCTCTTTATACCTTGCCTGAAAATGACAGAGTGGCTGCATCTGAACTGGATAGAAACTGATACAGACAAAGCTTTAATAATTAGATGTCTCCCCTCTAGTCCAACTGAGCACTGTGTATTCATATGGCAACCCCTTGTTGCATCACTCTTTCAACAGTAAAAAAAAAAAAAAAAAAGAGTGACAGTAATGGAGCTTTAATGGCCTTTTCTGAATGTTGTTGTTTAACATACAGGCCATGGACAACTTTAGTATCTATCTGTGAGCACCTGATATGAGGGGGATATTCTGGTGGGCAGTGCAATGGACTTGCACCATCAGATTTTATTCCCACCTCTACCACTGACATATCTTTGGTGGTTAGATAAGTCACTTTGTCCTTATTTTCCGAAGTGGTGAGTTCCCACAGCTTCCATAACTTCAGATGATGGTTTAGGTGATTATCATATATTCAGATTAGGTCCTTAGTCTCCAGATGCATTAGTATACTGTTAATACGAGAAAGGTATTGTAAGGTTTTATTAATATTTATAAGTACTCTGAGATCCTTGAATAACAGATAATGTATGATCATAGAAAGTACGCTTATTAAGTTCACAGATGATACCAAGCTGCGAGGGGTTGCGACTGCTCTGAAGGAAAGGGTCATAATTCAAAATGATCTGTACAAATTGGAGAAATGGTCAGAGGTAAACTGGATGAAGTTTAATAAAGACAAATGTAAAGTGCTCCACTTAGGAAGGAACAATCAGTTTCACACATACAGAATGGGAAGCGACTGTCTAGGAAGGAGTATGGCAGAAAGGGATCTAGGGCTTATAGTGGACCACAAGCCGAATATGAGTCAGCAGTGTGATGCTGTTGCAAAAAAACGCAAACATGATTCTGGGATGCATTAACAGGTGTGTTGTGAGCAAGACACGAGAAATCATTCTTCTGTTCTACTCTGCGTTGGTTAGGCCTCTGTTGGAGTGTTGTGTCCAGTTCTGGGCACCGCATTTCAAGAAAGATGTGGAGAAATTGGAGAGGGTCCAGAGAAGAGCAACAAGAATGATTAAAGGTCTAGAGAACATGACCTATCAAGGCAGACTGAAAGAATTGGGTTTGTTTAGTTTAGAAAAGAGAAGACTGAGGGGGAACATGATAGCTGTTTTCAGTTATCTAAAAGGGTGTCATAAGGAGGAGGGAGAAAACTTGTTCATCTTGGTCTCTGAGGGTAGAACGAGAAGCAGTGGGCTTAAACTGCAGCAAGAGATTTAGGTTGGATATTAGGAAAAAGTTCCTAACTGTCAGGGGAGTCAAACACTAGAATAAATTGCCCAGGGAGGTTGTGGAATCCCCATCTCTGGAGATATTTAAGAGTAGGTTAGATAAATGTTTGTCAGAGATGGTCTAGACAGTATTTGGTCCAGCCATGAGGGCAGGGGACTGGACTCGATGGTCTCTCGAGGTCTCTTCCAGTCCTAGTATTCTATGATTCTATTATAGCAAAGGATTATTAAAACATAGTTTTAAAACTAATGTTAATAGATTAGCCGAATCACATGAAGATGATAAAATTCTAACATAATTCTTCTCCTGATTTTTCTAAGGTGGAATTTAGTAATGACTGTGTACTTGGCACAAACTGCCTGTCCCTTCCACACTCCTGACACCTTATGACTAATCATGTTCTGACCCTTCTTTTGCTATGTAGTGTTGCACCAAAAATAAAGATGTTCTCTCTGTGTTTGTAGGCTAAAGACACGTCTGCTCCAGCTGAGTCTAAGGAAAGAATGGATGCTCTTCAGTACTCCTTTCCAAGGTGCCTGATTTGCAGTAGGAAATATTTAAAGCATTCTTTATTGCTTGCTTTATTACTAGTCGTTAGGCTCATTGATGAGCATTACCATATATTTGTGTGCCCTGTTTTATAGCAAGGAGGTTTTGGAGATTAATGACTTTGTGCATACATAGGAAAGCAATATTCTCATTTTCCTTATGATAAAATTCCAACACAAAGCCAATGGATGAGACATATGAAATAAGTGAAGAAATCTTTATGTGCTGTAGCATCTCTTATTATGTAGGTCACTGTGTTCTTACATCCAAATTTCCTGTGTTTATCTTAGCAAGAATTTCCATTACACAGGAGTGAGTATGACAGAGTTAACACAGCTAATTATTCCTTGCACACACTACAACTAATATCAGAACTTACCAGCTATTTCTTTAGTTAAGTTGGCAGTGATGGTGTTATTGACACAGTCTCATAGTTATGCATGAATGAGTACCTTTTGAAGGGAAAAAGATTACCAATATCTGACTGTCTAAATTACCCATGAAGCAAGATCATACACTCAGTATGATCATACCTCCATGCAGCAGTAACTGGTGGTATTGTGTCAGACAGGGTACGGCTAGATTGTGGGGGGTTTTCTGGATACTGCGGGGGGAGGTTCAGGTTTTTTTGCGAAAGAGCAAATGTGCTCTTTCGGAAGCCCCTGTATTCCTCGTTCCATGAGGAAGAAGGGGACTTCCAAAAGAGGTTTTTTTCTCGACTTTTGCCCAATCTAGACGGGCCAAATGTCGGAAAAGCTTCTTCAACAAAAGAATTGGAAAAAGGTATGCAAAATGCGGAGCGCGTTTTGCATACCTTTTTCCGACAAAAACTTACAGTCTAGCTGTACCCACAGATAATAGTAACCAGGCTTTCACTCTTTTGTTCATGGCTACCTTTTCTCCCCACTTTTTACAAACCCATCCCTCCACCAGTGCTGCAGCATCTTGTGTGTTGTGATGCTAACTATACCCAGGATAGCAGACTGCCTCCTATGAGACCATAATGCTTTTGTGTGTCCCATTACCACAGCCTATCCCATCCTGTACCCTATACAGCCACATTGCTAGCTGAGCCCATTGCTAATTATTTTTGATAATCCACCCATGATCTGCCTTACAGGCTAAAAATAAATACTGAGTCTTATGTAAAGAAAAAGCACAAGTATGTTTTATATTTATTTCCTACTAAGTTGCTGTAGGAGATCAAGTCTCACTGGCTAAAACAGACTTAGTGGGTAATGTTTTCTGTAAGGGTATGTCTACACTACAGAGTTAATTTGAAATAACAGACGTTATTTTGAATTAACTTTAATAGCTGTCTACACATACAAACCGCTATTTCGAAATAGTGGAGCCCTTATTTCAAATTAGGTAAACCTCATTCTACCTAATTTGAAATAGCTAAATCGAAATAAGTGCTGTGTAGACACTTATTTTGAATTAGGGGTCCTCCAGCCCTTCCCAGTTTCCCCTGGTGGCCACTGTGGGCCTAACCAGGAAAACTCCTCTTCTCTCCCCCAGCCCTGGGGCCCTTAAAGGGGTAGACTCTGGCCAGACG